AGTGGAGGATGAAGCACTGTATCATCTTACTCAGGTTTCACCAGGATGATGGCTCTTTTGTGGCAAGGACTAGACAAGAAGCTGCTGTATTAGTGGCACTAGTGTGAATTAGAGCAGTAGTGTAATGGAACCACTAGTTATTTAGCACAGGGTCAGGCACCTGAGTAGAACTCAACAAACATTGACATTAGTTAACCCTACAGCTTCCCCAGTTAGGGCCTAGGATCAGTTCCAGCATTCCGCAGATATATATACGTACATATTAAGTCAAATCCTGTCTCCTGGTCCCATATCACAAAGGAGTTCCAGCCACTCACACTAAAGTCCCAGGCTCTATGCAGTCCCATCTCTACCACCCGACTAGCTCTATGCCAGTTTATGGACCTCTCTGTCAGTCCTTTGTCCAGCCTCAGGGTCTGTGCACTGTTCTGTCTATCTGAAAAGGTTTCCATCTACTTGGCCATGTGGCTTTTGTCATCACTTATTGTCACTACTCAGATATTACCTTCACAGTGAGGCCCTCCTTATTCATCTTGTTTAAAATGATCATCTCCAGCATCCCTTTTTTACTCTCCCCTGCTTTTTTTCCCCAGTAGCAATTAACTGACTTTTGCCATATTTGTAAGATTTACACTGTGTGTGGGTGGGGGAGGGAGGGGCGGAGATCTGCAACGGTAGGGGTGGTTATCTTGTCACGCACTTACTCTCATATCTCCAGGCCCTACAGCAGTCATGGTTCAAAGTAACCACAAAAGTGCTTATTGATCAAGGAGTGTCCACATAGAGCTCTTTGCCACCTTAAGGATTAGCTTGTCCCTGCTCCCAGAGGCTTGGGAAATGCTGCTACATGGAAGTCAAGTGTCCAAGGAGGGAAAAGGATCATGTTGCAAACAGAAAGCAGTGGAGATGTTCCATCTATATTTTGTGGCTTGAGTTGGATCTTTTTTTTTTGCATGGGGGGGAGGGGAGGGGGGAGGGCGGGCGGTGGAGGGAATGCTAGGGTTTGAACTCAGCCTTGTATACCACTGGACTGGACTGGAGTCTCTAAAACTTGAGCCACATCTTCAGCCTGACATTTTGCTATTTGTTTTGGAGGTGGAGTTTCTGTAATATTTCTGCCTATGGTGGCTTCAAACTGAGATCCTCCAGATCTCAGCCTCATAAGTAGCTAGAATTACTGTCATGAGCCGCTGGCACCCAACATTGAGTTGGATTTTGAAAAACAAGTAAGAATCGAAAATGAATTGGGCCACTGACTCACACGTATCCTAGTTCCTCAGGAGGCTGAGATCTGAGAGTCTAGATTCATAGCCAGCCTGGGTAGGCTAATAGAAGATCCTTATCTTACAGCCAGCAAAAAAGTTGGAACTGGAGATGTTGTTTAAGTAGTGGAGCGACCCGGAGTGTAAGCCTCAATACGAGTACACACACAACAACACCAACTTCTAAGAAGAAAATGTGTCATATAGAGAAATTCAGAAAGAAAAACAAAATGCAAGAATAGAATAGGAAAACAGCCAATGTACCCTCCAAGGAAAGCATCCTGGCACAAGTTGGGCACAGCAAGAACAAGGTGTGGCTGAGCAACTCATATAAAAGACACTTGAGCACCATTTACTTGATTTAAGCTTGATTTCAATTGGTTCTGTAATGGAGGTGAGAAAACAGGTTGAGGCAAGCTGGGTTTCATGAATAGAGATGACCAGAATGGTTAGAACACCAGAGTCATCTGGGCTCAGTCTGGAGCCAAGAGGTACCCCTGTGGGGTGATCTTCTCTGAGCCTTAGTTTTCTCACCTGCCTCATGACGATAATGAACTTTATAGTTGTAATCTTTTTTTCTTCTCCCAGGCACCAGTCTGCAGCCCCTGTGCAACAACTAGATTATTCTCTATGTGACTAATGGCTGATTATTTAAATTTAAGAATAAAATGAATAAGCATTGCTCTTTTTAAAATGTTTTCTTTTTATCATGTTAAGATATACATGACATAAAAATGTACCATGGTAGCCAAGCCTAAGGGTACATACCTATAACTCAGCATTCAGGAGGCTGAGGCAGGAGGATTACAAGTTTAAGGCCAGCCTGTGCTACAAATAAGATCCTATTAATAATAATAAAATTTCAATTACCATGTTGACCCATGGCATTGTCAGGCCACCACCACTGTCCAAGGCTTTTCCATTAGCCAGAAGGTGTTTCAAACATTAGTTATGACATCATGTCACTCCTCTGCCTAAGTAGATCTCCATTACAAACCTAGCATTACAGACGTACACACCATGAATGCTCTGCCCCTCTTGTTCTTGGTCAAGCCACACAGCCTACACATGTCCTTTTTTTCTCCTAAACACACCCAGCATGCACTCACCTCAGTACCTTTACAGTTATATCTTCTGCCTAAAAAGTGCTTCCCCCAGAAGTCAGCGACGATTACTCATTCCAGCCACCTTCACTCCCAGAAAGGCATCCTTCACCACCTATCCACAGTAGCCCCCATGGACCCTCTCTGTCCATTATACTAGATGTTGACCACCTGACTCCTGTGAAAGGTAAATTCCACTAAGGCAGCAACCTGGTCTGTTTGCTCCCTGCTTAGGACCCAGTACACTCTGAGTACACTATAAATATTTTCCAGAAAATGGAGACGGTAACGCTGGTGGCCTGAAGTTGCTCTTTAGAATCCAGCCAGCTCCCCTGTCCCATGGGGCCTGCAGAGCGGGGCAGTCCCGTCCAGCTCTGCCCTGTGCGCTTAGTTCTGAGCTGTGAGGCTTAAGAACAATCTGAAGTACAGCTAAAGAGTAGGAGCCAGGGTTGGCAACTGACTCTGATGCATCAACTGGAGAAAACTAGGCTCGTGGGCTTGGAGAAGAGGGTGGCTTTCTTCAAATAGCTTTGGAGCTAATGTGTGGAGTTACAGTTTATCTGTGTGTGTGTGGTCCTGCAGGGCAGAGACAAAGTTGACTAGCAGCAGGTAAGAAAACAGAGCAGGTGGACTGGGAAGGTGGCTCAGTGGTAGAGTGCTTGCCTTGCATGCATGAAGCCCTGGGTTCGATTCTTCAGCGCCACATAAGCAGAAAAAGCCAGAAAGGTGCTATGGCTCGAGTGGTAGAGCACTAGCCTTGAGCTGAAGAGGTGAGGGACAGTGCCCAGGCCCAGAGTTCAGGCCCCTTCACCTGCCAAAATAAAAACAAAAAAAGACAAAACAAAAAACTTCAAAAAAAAGAAAAGAAAAGAAAAAGAAAACAGAGCAGGTTACTATTGAATGATAGGAGTACCGCTGAGTTGTCAGACTGGGCATGTCCTGGAGGCTGTGAGTTCTCTTATGAGTACACTCGGGTTCATCTGGAGCCCCTTCCCTTACGTTTATCCTCTATTGGCATAGTTCCTCTTTAACTGACACAAATGCAAGAAAAAGGAGGGGCTTAATATTGATACGGGAAAGGCCAGGTGGTTGCTTATCATCCAGTATAGTCAGAAAGCTTCTGAATTGATTTGAAGAGAGGAAAAGTACTAATTGAATAGCTCTTAACTCCAAAATACAAATTGCGCTAATATATGCCTCATGGAAAAACTTCCCACCTGACCTTATATATTGGGGTCTTAGTCAAACACTGGTGCACTAAATGGTACTACATAAAATGATCTTCCGTGTATGTGTATAAGGTTCATATGGAATATGCGTGAGTCTATGTTTAGACTCTGGTCCTATCTCCCAGATATCTATTAATGTGTATGAAAATATTCCATTAACCCTTCCCCCCCATCCAAAGTCTGAAACACTTGACTCCAAGCATTGCAGAGAAGGGCACCTGTAGGTTAGGCACAGGAAAGGGGCCCTCAAAACCAATGAGTGTGGCACTGTGTAGAAGGATGCAGAGAAGGGGCATGGGAAAAGCAAGAAGAGGGTGAATGGTGGTGAAATATAGTGCAACTGTGTATGCAGATGACATGAAGAACCTCAATGAAAGCTGTTGACCAGAGCTAAGAGAGGGATATCCTGAGCAAAACATAATATATGCTTATCAGAAACACCATAGTGAAATCTCTTGTGCAATTAATACATACTAAAATAAATGACAGGAAAAGAAAATAGGCTTAATGTGGGGAGGGGCAGTCTAGGGAAAGGGAATAATGGTGAATATTGTAGATATAGCTTGTTTTCTGTCTAAAAATAAAGACCTTTAAAATTGTTTTAAGAAGAGGAAGTGGGATGGGGAGAGGAATAGAAGGGGTGAGGTTGATCAGGATACATTGTTTACATGTGTGGGAAAGTCACCTGAAGCCCCCTTTGTATGCTAATTAAAATTAAGAACAAGTGAAGCCTTCAGTGCTATAAAAGGTGATTCTATTTGTCAAGTCACCACCATCTTTCACATTAGGGTAGGATTGCCAAGTTCATTCTGTTGGTTTTGTGGACCTACTTGTATTTAGTTTGCAAAATAGATTCAGTGGTTCTAAGAACTGTAACTATAAGGCGTTCATACCTAATTCTATTATTGTAATATTAGTTATGTTACAATTCAAGAATCTGAAGTCGGCACAATGCAGAAAAGAACTAAAGCCTAAGACCTTCTAAGTTTTTTCTAGCCTCAAGTTTATACTTGGTTAACAATGTGATCAACAATATGGCTGTTGCTACAATATGGCTAGAAAGCATTTCACAGATTTTAATGGTGTTAGAATCATCTAGATTCTCATTGCAAGGTCCTGTGGCCCTCTTGTTTGGAAATTGGGCCTGATTCTGTTACCTAGAAGAAGAAAGATTGCTAGCTGCTTCTTAATGCAAGTTCACAAGGTAACTGGGTCCTTCTAGAACAGACCTCTTTTCCCTATAAGTTCAGCAGTCCCATGATTTGAAAGGCTTTAAAAAAATCTGAACACTACAGAATTTAGGTTGTGTTAAAAAGCAAAATTCTACTCTGGAAAGGGTGGATAGGCGAACTGAAAAGAATCATCCTACTTACCCTGGTGTTTGTCTTTAACTCCTCCTCCTGCAGATACTTTTCTCACTTCTATGTCATCGCTGTACTATGGAATGGCTTCCTGCTTTGGTTCCTTATACAATCTCTGTTCCTGGGAGTGCCTTTTCCAAACTGGCTTCATGCTTTGCTGAGAATTCTTGGAGCAGCACAGTTCCAAGGTAAGCTGGATCTCTACCTCCGTACAACACTATTTCCTCCTCTCTGCTCCGTCCTCCATATGGGAGCTATGTGCATTTCTTGCGTCTCAGGTGCCTCATCCCAGGGTCCCAGGGCATCAAAGGGTTTGCATGGTTCATTGCTGGATAGCCAAGGGAATATCCCCAAGTCATCACTAATCATGACACAGCCAAGTTATACTCTACCCCTGATGTCAGAGAATGTTGTACCATGTACAGGACAGGCCCTCCTCCCTCTGGTATTTTTAGTACTGATGATACACATGAGGGGAAGTTTTCAGGATCCCTCAAGTTGAAACAATTACCATTTATACAAGCCCCAGCCAAAAGCATGCCATAGGAGTCAAAGTATTAATTTCATTAAAAAAAATAATTTTGAATCGGCTGCCGGTGGCTCCTGCCTGTAATCCTAACAACTCAGGAGGCTGAGATCTGAGGATCGCAGTTCAAAGCCATCCTGGGCAGGAAAGTCCGTGAGACTCTTATCTCCAGTAAACCACCAGAAAACTGGAAGTGGCACTAATAATAATTTTGTCAAAATGTTTTAAAAGGCTTGTTATATTATGAGGCTTTGGTTACAGAATAAAAATTTTCTGTATGCTGGGCGCTGGTGGCTCACACCTGTAATCCTAGCTATTCAGGAGGCTGAGATCTGAGTTCAAAGCCAGCGCTAGGGAAGGAAAGTCTGTGAGACTCTCATCTCTAATTAGCTACCAGAAAACTGGAAGTGGAGCTATGGCTTAAAGTAGTAGAATGCTAGCCTTCAGCAAAAGAACCTAGGCCCTGAGTTTAAGTCCTACAACCAACCAAAAAAAAATTTTTTCTTGTAAATACTTATTGTCCAGATTACAAAATGGACTTTAAATTAGCCACATCAGTAGTATTTAGAGGATATATGGAACAATTTTAAAGGGGAAGAATTGGACTGGAATGAGAGAGGGGGGGTAACACTGTTCAAAAAGAAATATACTCATTACCTGTCTTATATAACTGCAACCCCTCTGTACATCACTTTTACAATAAAAATTTTAATGAAATTAAAAAAAAAGAATTAGATCTAGATGAGGTAGCATGTGCCTACAGTTACGCAGGAGGCTGAGGTAGGAAGATCGCACAAACCCAAGAGTTCAAGACAGACTTGAGCAATACAGTGATCCTGTGTCACAGCCATGGACTAGCCTCCATTACGATCAGGCAGAACTTGAAACAATCGTTCTCTGTCCTCATCTCTGTCCTTTGTTCCAGCTGCCAAACCTCTGGCTCCCTAGGAACAATCTTTTCTGTATCAGCAGTGGGGCTTGTCACCCAAGAGGACAATCAGAAAGAGAAAAGCAGTGTTGTTCTGTTGGGAGGGGAGGGACGGAGAGACCTCAGCAAGTCAAACCTTCCCTCAATAAAAAGTCACCATTTCATTTGTAGGCAGTGGGATCCGCTGGTGTTTTTTGCATTCAGAGTGTTAATTTGGGGAGTTCACTTGGTTGTTTTAACCCATTCCTACAGAGTTAAAAACCAGGCTTTAAGTTATTTAAATTACCAACGGCCTACTGAGGCCTTTCCCTCAGGAAGGGAAGTAGATGGGGGAGGGCTTAGAAGGGTCCTGGTTGGGTTGTTTCCTTTTTTAAAAAAATTCTTTATTGCTATTATAAAGGTAATGTATAGAAAGATTACAGTTATATAGGTCAGGTAACAAGTACATTCTTTTTAGACAATGTCATCTCCTTTCCAGTTTTTCCCTGCCCCCCCCACAAGTAGTATAGTTCATTTTGAACATAGTGTCTAGTAAGTACCACTGTCAGGTTTTTATTTGATCTAAGTGCTAGTTATATAGGTGAGATGGTATGTGTGACTCACTTGAAGAAGGAAAATGTAGGGTTTATGTTATTTTTAAAATAGCTATTTTTGGCTGAGCATGGAGGGTTCACATCTGTAATCTTAGCTACTCAGGCTGAGAGCTAAGGATGGAAGTTCAAAGCCAGTCCATGAAGAGAAATCCCAGAGTTAACAAGCAAACAAAAGGATGGAAGTTCAAAGCCAGTCCATGAAGAGAAATCCCAGAGTTAACAAGCAAACAAAAGGATGGAAGTTCAAAGCCAGTCCATGAAGAGAAATCCCAGAGTTAACAAGCAAACAAAAAACAAAGCTTGAGGCATGGCAAAAGAAAAAATCCAAGTGAGAGCCCCAGCATAAACACACACACACACACACACAGTCTTTCCTTGGACCTCTTTGGAGGGATGAGAAGCGCAGCCGTTTTCTCCAGACTCACTGTTGCCCTAAAAGTATAATTTGTTTCTTTCCTTTCTTCTTTGTTTTGTGTGTGTGGTGCTGGGATTGAACCCAGGACCTGACCTCTTGCTTGCTAGGTAAGGGTTCCTCTCTTCAGCTACACCTCTAGCGGTTCTTTTTCATATTGCCTAACATAGAAAGAAATGAGTTATCCTGCCTCCATCGAGGGCTCTGTGGTGCCTCAGGGACCTCGCGCACCTGGGATTCTCTATAATGAAGCGCAATTAGGTGATGGTTGTGGTCCCTCTCTGGCACTAATTTACAGTGTAAACCTTGAGGCAAACTCTCTGACCACATGTGTCCCATCCTAAAAGGAAGAATGTATTACCTACAGCCCTTTTCTGGCTCCAGTCCTATGTAATACTTAGTTTCACACTAAGTATTGGAAGAGAGATCTGAACTCGTGGCCTTCTGAAATGCAGGGGGTGAGCTGGCACTGTCGGCGTTCTTGGTGTTGCTGTTCCTGTGGCTGCACAGTGCACGGAGACTCTTCGAGTGCCTCTATGTCAGCGTCTTCTCCAATGCCGTGATTAATGTAGCGCAATACTGTTTTGGACTTGTCTACTATGTCTTGGTTGGCCTAACTGTGCTGAGCCAAGTACCAATGGATGGCAGGAATGGTGAGTGGTCCCTCCCATATCACAGGCCTCCTGAGGGGTGGTCTTCAGGTAAGTGCTCACTCATGCCCTCTAGGGGATTAAGGAATGAAAGCAGCCCAGCCACTGTGCATTCTGGGAATTTAGGCTCTAGGTTTTACAGAATAACACATCCAAGGGCATATATTCACAGTAACTTCCAAACCTCAACCCACAAACCAGCAGCCCTGCGATCAGGGAAGATAATAAAGGGCAACACCTGAATCAGCCTGATTTCAGGATGGGGTTTTTTTTTTGTTGTTTTGTCATGAGTCCTTATGATGGTTCTCTTATAACAAAAGGGAGAGGACAGCAAAGCTGGTAAATTGAGATTGCCTTCCGTTTCCTGGCTCTCTAGCCAGCAAGTGGAAAGCAAAACCTGTATTTACAAGAAGTAAACAAAATGGGTTTGGTTTTAGAGTCTAAAGGGAGCTATCTAAAACTTGTGACTGTTATTTTTGTAAAAACAACTTGGGCATATGATCATTCCAGATTCAGTTTTAAGTGCTAGGCATTGAACTCAGCGTCTTATACATGCTAGGCAACTACTGTACACTTGAGCAAAACCCCCAGCCCTTTTGTTTGCATTTTGTTTTTGAGACAGGGTCTCTTGCCAGGATCTCTTGTGCCACACTGGCTTAGAACTCATGATTCTCCTGCAGCCACCTCCTAAGCGACAAGATTACGGGCATGTACACCATACCTACTTCTTTCTGGGTGATTGAAATGGATGTTTTTGGTTTTATTTGTTTAGTTTTGTTATGCCTGTAATGGGGCTTGGATGCAGGACCGCACACTCTCCCTCACCTTTTCAAGCTCACAGCTGGCTCTCGACCACTTGAACCATGCCTCAGCTCCTGAAATGAATTTTTTTATTTAATAATATTTTAAATTGTTTTTATAAAGGTGATGTACAGAGGAGTTACAGTTACATAAATCAGGTAAAGAGTACAGTAAAGTGTTAAGGCTGGTTTTTAAAAAAATTTTATTGTTATTATAAAAGTGATATACAGGGCTGGTAAAGTGGCTTAGTGGTAGAGTGCTTGCCTAGCATGCATGAAGCCTTGGGTTTGATTTCTCAGTACCACATAAATAGAAAAAGCTGGAAGTAACACTGTGGCTCATGTTGCAGAGTGCTAGCCTTGAGCAAAAGAAGCTCAAGGACAGTGCCCAGGCCCTGAGTTCAAGCCCCAGGACTGGCAAGAAAAGTGATATATAGTTTGATTATAGTCATGTAAGTCTAGGAAAAGGATATATAATTGTTTTTGAACACTGTCACTCTCCCCTTGCCCTCTCCCAGTTTTTCCCTCCTGTCCCCACCCTGAAATGAGTTTTAATGCCATGGTTTCCTTATGGCCCAGGCACTTTGTCCTTCATGACCATTTTCTCTAAGTCCTAGGCTCCAGGCTTTGTTGGTGACCTGTCCATCCTCATAAATCAAGACTGAGGTATAGATATGTCCACACTCTGAGTGGGCCTTCTTCCCTCATCTGAGTTATGTCCACCTGCCCCCTTCTCACTGTTGCTGTACAGCTCCTTTGACTATGAAATGATTTGTTGGTGGTGGTGGTGGTCATAGGGCTTGAACTCAGGGCCTGGGAGCTGTCCCTGAGCTCTTTTGCTCAAAGCTAGCACCACTTTAAGCCTCAGCCCCACTTCCAGTTTTCTCATAAGTTAATTGGAGATAAGAGTATCACAGACATTCCTGCCCGGGCTGGCTTCGAGCCATGATCCTTAGATCTTAGCCTCCTGAGTAGCTAGGCTTACAGGTGTGACCCACTGGCAACCTGGCAAAGATGACTTTAAGGTATAACTTAGGAACAGTCCTCAGTTTGTGAATTATTTATGGTCTCCAGCCACTCAGCCGCCATGTTGCCATGTAATTCCTCTGGACTTCACCAGCTGTCTTCCTCCCTGGTCGGTGGCATACATGTGTTTAGCCAGTATTGTAGTGTGAGCTGTCATTCCTGGTTCTCCACCAGAGGAACTTTCCAGAATCTTTCTAAGAACATTTTCATTTTTCTGGAGCTTTCTCCCAGCCCTTGGCTTGGCTTCTACTTCACTCCCATGGAAATAGGTGAGGAAAGGCAGCATAAGCACCCACAAAATAGCATTCTGGATACTCCGCTCAGTTCCACCTGGTCCTTCAAGAGGACTCCTTGGGTCATTGGGGACAACATGGGGAGAGCTGATTTGCTGACCTGTTGGGAAAGAACATATTGAGGTATCTTGTGGCCACAGTGTGTGCTGTAAGTCACAAGCCTGTAATCCTAGCCACTCAGAGACAGAGACCTGAGGATTGACTTTTGAGCTAGCCTGGGCAGACAAATCTTGATATTCATATCTCCAGTTAGCCAACAAAAAGCCAGAAGTAGAAGTGGGGCTCAAGTAGTAGAGCACCAGCTTTGAGCTAAGGGACAGTACCCAGGCCCTGAGTTCAAGCCCTAGTACTAACACACATACAAGAATGGGCCTGGGAATCTGTTAGACCTCTTTACTGAATCTCTCTACCAGAGCCTGTACCAGAAATTAGAGTACAGACCGATTTTAGAGTCTCTGATGCTATAAACCAGACTGTAAGTGTAATCGTGCCTAACTTACTGCCACATCCCTTGTGCTAACAGCAGCACCAGGCTTCACAGACACCCAATAAATAACTGATGAGTAAGTCAATAAAGTACCAGAGCCCAGATAAGACTCTTGGTGAATAGTATCCTTCTGCCTGCCTCCCCTTCCCTGGGTTATAATCCCATCTTATTCTCTCACCCCTCAGGGAATCCCTCTCTGACCTCAGAGTAGAAATTTGACCTCCAAGATCCTCATTTAACTTAGAATCCTGTCATGACATACTCTTGAAGGCCATCAGGTTTAAAACTGTGTTTTTCATATTATTAACCTATAAAAAATCCTTTTAGTAAATGGCAAGTCTTACTGACCACTAAAAGACTACAGCATAGTAGATTGTTTCATGGAACAAGTTGTTGGGTGTTTGGTTTTTTTTTTTTTTAACAAAAATGGACACATTGGACTTTATCAGGTTCTCATTCGTCATTAGCTATCCTCAACTCATTCCCACTTTACGTTCCCATGTAGAATGGCATGATTCTTGGTCCTCTTACTTGAATCAACTTTTAGGGCTCCCTCCTAGCAGCAGTGTCCTTGCATTTTGCTGAAGATCAGTGAGCAACTTTTGCCTCTTCCATTGAGACTGACAAGATCAGGGTGTTCTGCTGATGAGGTGGAGACCTTCATTGACTCGCTCATGTCCTTCAACGACCTTCCTTCTTCCTTTCTTCCTGGTAGTCAGAGAAGAAAGAAAGGCACAGTTCTTTAGCGTTCCTACTCTTGGAACGATCTCTCAGACCAGGGCCTCTAATTGAGAAAGGAATTATTTTGTTGTTCATCTTACAGTTCAGATTTCTATTTGGGAGAAATCCTCCACTCATTTCCTTCACCGGCTGGAGCCACGCAAACCAGCCTGCCACATTCCAGATCCTGCTGGTAGTTGGGGCTCTGAAGGGCAGTTCATGGAGAGGCTTCTTTCGAACATGTTTTCCTGACAGGAAACATGAGCAAGAAGACAAAGTCCTTTCACCACACAGAGCAGAGCAGATAGGAGGCCGAGCGAAAGCTTTGCGCCTGAAGCATTTGAAGAAAGTTTGAGAGTATGTGTTAATATGGACCTCTGCCTGAGGCTACCAGAGCCATCTAGAGCTGAGGGGCAGATCCCCTGAGTCCAGGGAAATGGCACAAGAATACTATGATGTGTGTGTGCGCACGCACGTGAGTGTGCACGTGTGTGTGCACGTGTGTACACACCCACCCATGCCAGTACTGGGGCTTGAACTCAGGGTACTGTCCCTAAGCTTTTGTGCTCAATTCTATCACTCTATCCCTTGGGTCACAGCTCCACTTCCAGCTTCTCTAGTGCTTAAAAAAATGGAGATAAGAGTCTCATTGACTTTCCCACCTGGGCTGGCTGCAAGTCATGATTCTCAGATCTCAGCCTCATGGATAGCTAGGATTCTAGGTGTGATCCACGAGAGCCCTGCTTAGGATAATACAATTTTTTGACTCCTCTATACTTGGCAGAGTTGGCTAATACTTATTTCAACAGTCTATGTGATAGGGAAAAACGTCCTGATGCAAGCGCGATGGTTTCACATCCTGGGAATGGTGATGTTCATCTGGTCCTCCGCACATCAGTATAAGTGCCACGTCATCCTCGGCAATCTCAGGAGAAACAAAGCAGGTGAGCTGAGAGGCTTTCAGAGCCCCTATGGTAGCCCTCAGGAGTTAGCTTTCTAGGTCCCTTCATTCCCTTCCTACCTCCTCTAGATTCAATTCCTACTTTGGCACGATGCCTCTCTGAGCTTTGCTCTTCCTGTCTGTAAGGGAAGGCCTTCTTCTGATGGTGCCTCCTCCCCAGGTACCTAACTTCTAGTCTCTGTCTCTGAGCTGTTCTCACATTGGGAGGTGACCCTGCACAGATGGATGTGCTCCACATGGAACAGCTCCTGTGACCATCGAGTTAGAGTCATCCCAGCCAAAGCAACAGCCTGACTTTCTAGTTCATTTGTATTAACTTACCATGGGTACAATTTCTATTAGACTGTTTATAGTACTAAAGAAGCAATCCTGAGGGGCGTTGGTGACTTATACCTGTAATCCCAGCTACTCAGGAGGCTGAGATCTGAAAGTTCCTGAGACTCTTATCTCTACCTAAACACCAGAAAACTAGAAGTAGCGCTGTGGCTCAAGTGGTAGAATGCTACCCTTGCGCTGAAGAGCTCAGGGCTGAGGGAGAGTGCCCAGGCCCAGAGTTCAAGCCCCACGACTGACCAAAAAAAGAAGAAGCAATCATGTTATTTAGTATTTCTGTAAAGCTTACTTTGTGCCAGGCCCTATTCTAAAAGCTTTATGTATAATGCCACAGCACCTGCATACTAGGAATATAATCTAATCTTTCCACAGTCTTGTCATTTTACAAACAAGGACACTTGGGCACAATGAGATGAAACAATTGTATCTGAAGTGTCACAGCTAGTCGAGGAAGAGCCAGGGTTTGAACTCATGCAGCCTGACTCTGGAGTAGCCTCTGAACCCTGGTGGTGAGATCTGGGCATGTGCCATTTTAGTAATAGCAGGTAGACAGTGTAGTAAGGCAGGATGCTGGTATACATACAGCTATGCAGCACTCTTTTCTCAGTACACGTTTCTGTCAGCGATGGGTGAGTGAAATCATGAGATTTCTTTTCTAAAACTCCCAGTGCTCACAACACTGTCTTTTCCCATTTCAGGCATAGTCATTCACTGCAACCACAGGATCCCTTTTGGAGACTGGTTTGAGTACGTCTCTTCCCCAAATTACCTAGCAGAGCTCATGATCTACATTTCGATGGCTGTCACCTTTGGTTTCTACAACACAACTTGGTGGCTAGTGGTGACATATGTCTTCTTCAGCCAAGCCCTGTCTGCGTTCCTCAGCCACAAATTCTACAAGAGCCAATTTGTCTCCTACCCAAAGCACAGGAGAGCTTTCCTGCCATTTTTGTTTTAAGATCACCTCCGTCATGAGGAATGCAAGCCAGGAGACAAGTTCAAGTTCCTAGAGACATAAAGTCAAAAGCCTGCAGGATTTTCTACTTTTACACAAAGAACTTCTTTTTTTTTTTTTTTTTGCCAGTCATGGTGCCTGAACTCTGGGCCTGGGCACTGTCCCTCCGCTCTTCAGCTCAAGGCTAGTGCTCTATCACTTGAGCCACAGCATTACTTCCAGCTTTTTCTGCTTATGTGGTGCTGAGGAATCGAACCCAGGGCGTCATGCATGCAAGGCAAGCACTCTACCACTGAGCCACCTTCCCAGCCCCCACAAAGAACTTCTCACAGAGTGAACGAAGCAGTATCCCTCCAAGAGTCTTAAAAAAAAAACACGTTTTTTATTGTAAAAATATTGTACAGAGGGGTTACAGTTACATGAGCAAGGTAATTTCCTATCAAGCATTGTTACCTCCTCCTTTGTTTTTTCCCTACCTTCCCTTCCCTCCCACCTCCACAACTACACTCTCCTCTCCCCTCATTTCCCCCCCCTCACCCCCTCCCCGCCTAAATTGTAAAGTTTGTTTTTCAACATAGTGTCTTGTACATCTCATTGTTACAATGGGTCAACCTATATCCCTATTTAAGCATTTTGTTTTTTCCCTTTAGAGAGGTGTATATACAAGATGCAGGGCACCGACATCAAATACAGTGAAAACAGGGGTTATACCATCCTCCAAGAGTCTTGAGAGTTGCTTCAGCCACTTCAGGCAGATGTGGGGTGCTATGTCTGCTTGCTTTATAAAGTCAAGCATGCATGCACAATAGATGGGACTTCTCCAGGCTGCTTCACGAACTCCTGACCAATACTCAGGACACCCTCACATGCCCTCATTCATACACCAGGGAAGATGAGAACACCTGCGGCTGGGATGGCTGCTTAAAAACAATGGGCTGCCCTGCTTGATAAGGTATCGAGTAGGTGCTCAATAAACATTTGTTATATGTCAATAAAAGAATTGCCTTTGAAGATAACATGAGGAGATAATTTTGCACCAGTAATTTCAGGGATAAACAAGTATGCTTGAGTTAGTCTATACTTTTATGTATTTCCATAAAGATCTCCAGTTATGTAACTATCCACAACTGTTTCCATGCAAGTCAGCCAAACAGAAAGTTTCAAAAACTCTTCTACTAAATTCTCTTTTGATAGTCCTAATTATACTATCAGAAAATAAAATATTTTTTATAAACCAGGTGCTGGCAGATAATGCCTGTCATCCTACCTACTCAGGAGGCTGAGAACGGAGGAATACAATTTGGGGCCAAAACGTGAACAACAATAAACTTAATTGAGCAACTGTCAGAACTCTACATTCACAAAGCTTAAAGTTTTCTGGGGCTGAGGTGGTCGCTCCATGGTAGAGCACTTGAGTAGTATGCATGGAGGCTTAGAGTTGGATCCCTAGCATCTAGGGTTTGAGCCCAGTGCTGGGATTACAGGATTATACCAACATTCTTGCTTGACATGCATAATTTTAAATAAATTATTTAGGGAAAAAATTGTATTTTGCTTTAGGATGCATTTTAAGCCGAGGCTCAACTTCGGATCTGGCTGATGCTATGGATCTTGTACTGTGAAGTAAAATAACAAACATCCTCCATGAAGGACCCTGTCAGGGCCTATGCGAAAGGCTTCAGTTTCTTATCCACACCTACACTGTCTCTTGCACATGACTCCAGGTCTCTCTCTTCCCCTTTTTCTTCCCTGCTCAAACACTTCATGTCTAGATGGCAATAGAAGAGGTAGTGCAGTAAGATCTTCAAGGGATTTAGAACATGATAGCATGGCCTTGGATGGGGGGGGGGGCAAATGGATAGAATATAATTGATAATAGGACTGTGTTGGCAAGGGGAGAATTGATGCTGTGTTTTATGCCAGGGGAAATTTTAAATGCCTAGAGGGAGTATGCTGGGCAGATTTGTATTATCTCTACAAGGATGACCCAGAAATAGCTTGGAGGTGGAAATTCTTGACTTTCCTTTTGGTAAAGTGTAATATCCTTAACTTTTCAATGCTGGTTACCATCACGTTAAGGGAAATGGTGCTGAGCTACTATAGAACAGAATTTCCTGGATTAACTACTGCCCACAGAGAATGTGCTCAGAATAGCCCTGTTCTTGGGTAAGTCTCCAAGTCATAACTCAGTCTGCTTACAGTGAGCATGGATTATTTTATCATCACAAAGTTGTGCTCTGAAGTATAGTTTTAATTCAATCAGTGGATATTGCTAGAATCTCCTACTGTTAACATTAAGACTCTAAAAATGTTCCCAAGGGCTCATGTGTTAAAAGTTTAGTTGCCGGCCAATGTTTTTGTTTGTTTTAAGAGGTGATAGGATTGTGAGTGGTCTAATTTCATCAGTGAGTTCATCCATTGGACTGCTAGGAGGTAGGATCTGGTTGGCGGAAGCTCACTAAGATGTACTTTGAAGGGTATATCTTGCCTCTGAGCCCCTTCCTTTCTCTGCTACCTGGCTGCCTCCAGGTAAGCAGCTATCCTCTGCCACGCCCTTCCACTGTGATAGTTCTGCTTTCCTACAGCCTAAAAGCAAGGGAGCCCGCCTACCATGGACTGACACCTCTGAAAGCAAGAGCCAAAATACTTCCTGATTTAAACTGCTTTTCCTCAGGTATTTTGTCACTGGGATGAAAAGTGACTGTCACACCAACAAAAAAAGCTTTTGTATATGTTTTTAAGTGAAGCTTAAAGGATGCTCAGTTTAAGGAGACTAGAAATATTTGCATAACTAAGGGCCCTGGAGTGTCCAGAAGCATTAATGGGTAATGTATCCCCAAAATGAACTGACTGATACAATAAAGGAAGCCTTAAAATAGTTTTTTTGTTTTTGTCTGTTTGTTTTTTGTCAGTCGTGGGGCCTGATCTCTTGGCCTGGGTGCTGTCCCTCAGCTCTTCAGCTCAAGGCTAACTCTCTACCACTTGAGCCACAGTGCCACTTCTAACTTTTTCTGCTTATGTGGTGCTGAGGAATTGAACCCAGGGCCTCATGCATGCTAGGCAAGCACTCTACCACTGAGCCACCTTCCCAGCCCCTTAAAATAGTTTTTTTTAAAGCAAAAGCAAATATGATCATTTGACTCCTATGAACTTCCTACACAGTATCTTCTCTTTTTATTTGATTAGGAAAAATTGTCCAACTTTTTGTAAATGTCGGTCTAACATAAGATTCTATTAAATGGACAAGAAACACTGAAATGACAATCAATGGTTCTTAAGTGACGGAAGTGACATAGTTGACCACTGTACTGTAATAGAAATCTGTGTTAGTTTGGAGGGAAGCAAAGTTTAGTGAAAGAGCTACTGTGCATGTAAATAAGAAAGTAAATACAGAGTCTCTTCTTCAAACAGACTGAGAACTTCAAGTACTTGGAGGACACCAATCCACAGGGATTTCTCAACAGAAGACAAATCTCCCTCCAGGCCAGGCCTCCACGTATAACCTCTTCAAAGCCCACCCAACATCTTTCTGTGGATTAGGAAAGGCACCACTCTAGAATACAGAGAACAGGGCACGCATCTTTGTGAGCATTGAATACAGTCAGGCAATGCTGCACCTCGCGGCCCAGGCTGGATGGGCCTTGCTTCCTGAGCCTGCTGTCCCCTGCAGTGCCCAACCCACACAATCTTCCACTGAAACCTCATCATGCTAGTCTACAGATTCTATTCACTTTAGAAACAAAACAGGACTATATCAGCCATCTCATTGAAATAAACTGTACAGATAAAGTAGGTGATAGAAAAAAACCCTCCATTGCAAAACCACTGTCTTACTCCACCCAGAAAGGAGTTCAGTGATTAGCAGATACGAGACTCTCAAACAATGGAATGCTGATTTTGCTTATCCCTTGTGACGATAATGTTTTGCTTCCTCTCAGACTACCAACTCCTGTCTTTCCACTTCATTGTTCTGGTATGAGCCTCCAACATTTTAGCCTCCTAGGAATTCCAACTATGGAAGTAATCACATTTTCATTGCCTTTCATTACTTGAAATTCTCACCTCTGCTGGTTAAAATTCTAAGTATATCATAACCAGTCCTTGGGACAATCTTGACCTGTACATCTTACATTGCTTTTGTCTGCTCATTTAATCAATCTACAGCCCTGGACCAATTCATCTCTCTTTCTGTGTGTAAATCTGTGTGGTTTAGCTTCCTGAAAAGTTTAAACTGTTACTAGCTTGCTTTAAATTCCTGACCACTAATCTCAGTGGACTTTAAGGCTGTAGTCATACAAAATTTCACTCTACCATTCATTCTTCCCAATATTTCCCACCTCTGCCCTCAGCAAAGTAAATTCTCTAGAAGCAAACACTCGCAGGTTCCCTCCATCTTGCCTAAGCCCCAGTGTCCTTTCTTTTTTTTCTTTTCTTTTTTGTGTGTGTGTGTCTGTCATGGGGCTTGAACTCTGGGCCTGAGCACTGTCCCTCAGCTCTTCAGCTCGAGGCAAGCGCTCTACCACTTGAGAGCCCCAGTGTCCTTATACACTTCCTGCCTTCTTATTAGGATTGGCAAAAAATACTTTTTTTAAAAAATGTAACCTCATGTGTCTCACACAAGTTTGAAAGGAACATGTGCCAAAGATTTTATTTCATTTACTTTATCATGAATCAAGGAATGAGGAAGATGTTACAACCAGTACAAAGAAGAACCTTAAAGGTATACGTGGGCAGTCAAGCATGCAAGAATGAGTTTGCTTAATTTCATGCAGAAGTGCCTAGTATAATGGGTGAAGGAAATCCGTTTCCTCCCTTTTCCCAGATAGAGTTGTGTGTCTATGGGGAAATCAGTTACATTCCTATCCATCATCTGTAACTTACAGTTATAAAAGAGCTGAAGGACAAGGCTGAAGATAACTTGAAGGCTATACTAGACAACAATTTTTCTTGAAATGGTAAATTAGTATTGAAGCAGAACCCTTGACTTGAACTCTAGATTGTATTCCCTTTTGCCAACCTGAGGGCGAGCCCCAGCCACTTTTCTCTGAAGGTCGTCAGTGTTTCCCTGTTCTGCAGTCAGTATCAGGAAACAAATCTCTTCCTTACACAGCTTCCTTTACTAGATTACTTGGGAACTCTGTTTCCTTGGTAGCACAACTCCTGGAAAGAGCTGT